TCAGATTACAACGTTGGCTCCAAGATGAGAATGATCATTCAAGGTAGTCACGTGGGCAATTAGTGGAACATGCTGCAAGCTTCATTAGGAACTAGGAAGCTAATTAGGAGAGCAGCATGGAGTGCACAGGCGAATGGACAAGGAGGCCTATGGAAAAAAGTTTACAGTCATCCACTAAAAGTGAGAGAGAGAGGTGCAAGTCGTGAGATAGGATAAGAATATAAATATACAATTTATATAAATATACAATTTATATTAAAATTTTCAATTTTCAGCTGAAAACCTAATATTGTGTCACCGAATGGGGGGTTTGAATTGATCAATTTGAAATAAAATTGGTGGAAAATTGCCATCTCTGTTGTCCATATCTGTTGTGTTTTCTGCACAAAATCTTTCTAAGCTCCTGGAAACCATATCTGGCTACATATGACCCATCAGTCAAATGAACACTGCATTTGCATCATACCAAAGAATTATTTGGTTTCGCCAATTTCACCAAGTTAAAGAGTAACTTAGAACTGGTTGAAATTCCACATCTGGCTGGTGTCCAAGCAGGAATTGCGATTTAATCATCATAAAATCCCCAGTAGGTTTACCCCCAACTTAAATAGGCACAAATGAAACATGGTTGTAGCTGTTTATTACCAACAGGTTTTCTTGTTATTTACAAATTAACAAAATGTGATGAAAACAAATACCATAAGGTCAGTATGATGGAAAAATATATAAACAGGATGCAATAATTTGCATGATTCAATAATGATACATAATTTGTAGAAAAATACTCTACAATATTGCATGTTTCAAAACATCATCAAAAAGAATATTTACATCCAATGAAATCTGATATAGGATTCCAATAAATTTCAGGCTATAAGGTAACATGACACAGTGATCAAGGTAAACTGTCGTTATTATCACAGATACAGTTCATGTGAATGTTGATTACAGGTGGCAGGCTCATTCTCTTCCACGGTGCCATATGCTCCAAAACACCAACTAATGCAGCCCATAGTCACTCCTGGGTGAGACAAACTACACACCCATTGCTTTCAGATAAGATAGAGATACAAAGGTAATTCTTAATTACTGTTTAAAGGAGACACTATACAAATAAAAATATGTTATGGAAATTATAGATCTGAACTGAGATCTTCTTTCAGAAGATAAATAATTAACAGGCATGTTAAATATTCCATAGCGATGAAAAACCTTGCTTTCTCACTAAAAATTCTGATTTTCATCAGACACGTTTCATTTTTTGGACAGTGGATACTTAATATTTCCTTATCAGCCATGTCACATCTTGAAATTGGTCCATTAGCTTCTACATAAAGTACACTTTGGTAACTCTATTAACACATGTGTCTAGACATAGGTAGAACAACAGTTGTCATACAAAGCAAATGAATGCAGCCCCCACAAAATCAAACCATACATTTCCAAGCTGAGGATGTAATTAACTTTGCACTTTCCATACAATTATCAATCAAAAGCACTGCTATGTGCTTCACAAGAAAGCATTGGCAGGTATCAGGACTTGCTCAAGTCTTCCTTTTCAGTACCTATACCGATTTTTGTGCCAAGGTGCAAATGAAGTCAACAATTCCTAGCAGGAAATAGGCACTTATTCCACACGCACGTAACTGCATTGAACCAATTATGTATATACTGGCCAAGTCGTGACATCTTCAAAATAAGCTGTGACAAAAATAGTGAAATTACTATTTCAACAGGTGTTTAAAACATCTGTTCACATGTTGAAGCATTTCTTGTGTCTGTCCAAATGAAACAGTCATAATCTGGTAAAACAAACCAAACAATTTACACTGTTACTGACACATTCAACATTAATTCATATCTTTGTTCAATCAGCACTTAAAGACCTGCCGTTTCCTAATCACTGGCAAAGATAACACATATTTCATGAAGGTAGATGGATGAAAACAGAGTATCACATTCTGATCTCACAAACCACCATAAAATCAATCCTTTACATACACTTTCACAGAATAAGGTTCCTGACCTATTCCTTGCAGAGAAAAACAAAATCATATCCAATGTCAGGTTTAACACAATACACTTTAGGTTATTCAAATAATTGATTTGTTAATTTTACAAATCTCTGTCAACTCACATTTTGTGTACTTGCACCTTGCATTATTTGTCTGAAAAAGTCTCATTTGCAAGTTCATACCCTGTAGCATGAAAGATCAAATAATAAATTAATATAAAACATATATCTGAATGTTTCTAAATATTACAATGTCAGATACATGCATGGAATATCAAATAAAAAAGACATGCACGATTTAATGGTCGAGAAAGGGGAAAACTGATTCCAGCCAAGATCAACTCTGAAGTCCACACTGCAGGACTTGTACACATAATTCCAGCCCTGTGGAAACAGAAGGCATGTTGGAAATACAGCATCACTAGGCTCAAGTAATACCTATTGATTTCTGCTAATAAGTTCTGCTAATGATGATGATGATAAGTCTCAGCTACTGATCTTTACCCAGAAAGGTGTCAGTCAGATTATGGGTCTTTTCTGTCAGAGTAAGTTGTATGCTGATCAAGCTATAGTGTAAGGAAATACATGGTCACTGGGTTACAATGCATCACAGAAAATTAGCAATAACTTTTCACAGTTTTTACAATTTAACTGATTTCAAACATATATATGGTTGATTAATTTATGAACAACTGAAGATAAAAAAATAACTGGTACAAGATGTAAACAATCAAAACTGATTTGTATACATCTATACATGAACAAATGAGCTATCCATTATACACCTACAAATTACGGACACCTACTTTACAAAACAATATTCCCTCAAAACTGGCAAATTCTAAACTGTTCAAACAAATGAGTATGGCTGGCTAATTTGCATAAATATCACCTGATTATGGAAAGAGAGGTAAGTTATTTCTTGTGATGGGTAAATGAAACATCTTTCAAACAAAAAAAAAACCCTGAATTTTCTGTTCTCATCACTAAAAGTATGACTTTGTTTCTATTTCAAACTACTTGTCATAACACAACACAAATATACACCAACATTTGCCAATGTCTTTTCCAATAACCATGAATGAGATGCAATAATACAGTCAAATCTCAAAACATTCGTCAGTCCAGGACCGAAGTGTGAACTTAGAGGGGTTGACACTATGAACTCTGAAGGTCCAAATGATAATTTACACATACCAGTTTAATACCATTCATTTTACCTTGTTTTTCTACTCTGCATGACAAATATGTGATTAGAGAAACTGTCAAGTACCGTGCAAGACAATTCAGTATAATCATTTGGTAAAGGATATCAGAGGTTATTTATTGCCATCTTAGCACTCTCTTAAAATATTTCAGTGACAATAACACCCATGAAGTCAAATGTTTTAAAATTTGAAAAAACTATAAATATCATACAAAAATGTAATTACAAAATGCACAACCAGTTGTTTCAATGTATTTTGAATGACACCGTCAAGGTCCATGACTGCTGGCAATTCTGATGGCCACCACTGAAGAGTCTATTGCTGGGATGGCACTGACATAAGGTCTGCAGGAATAACCAGCTAGGGCAAGCAGATTTAATTACCGGTAACAGTCAGCAAAATTCCTACCAGAGGATGACATGACCAATCTCTTATATCACCATGGTATGGTATGCTATCAGCAAAGTAACTGATTCCAACAGCCAGCTGTAATAAAGTCAGCTTGTACCATGCTAACAGGAATTAAACAAAATATACACCTGTGTCCTTAAACCCTATTGCAAACACTTACCTCTGCTGTCAAAGTGCTTAATGTAATTCATGTTTACATTTTATACAAAAATGACTGAACCACCTCCAGCCTATACGGAAATACTAAACACTTGAGGTAAATGTTACACTGAGTGAGTTGAGTTTAAAGCCGCTTTTAACTGTATTCCAGTCATATCACGGTGTGTCAGCTTGTGGGAGGACACCAAGAAATGATCCAGCTTAAAGACATTTAACACTTTGGTGAAACCCCAAAGCATCGAGGTACAGTGCCGACAACCTAGAAACATATTCAGGGGAACCAGGATCCCAGGCCATAATCACACATTTCTTGTGTGTCCAAGGGATACACTCGGCACAGCAAACTGACTAAGACAACTGGGCAACCTGTGTCCTGTAAGTGTTACAAAACTAGTGAAAGAAATAGTACTGGTTTTAGCTATGAGAAGTTTTACCATGATAACTGTAACGACTGGACCAGACAAGCTTGTGGTCAATGCGAGGAGAACGCTGAATGCTGTCAAGTTACTACAAAATACTAAACACAATGGCCTCATTACATGAAGTGATCGGAGGGCCATGACAATAATAGATCCCATAATTAAACTGACTGACTGACTGAGTTTGGTTTTACGCCGCTTTTAGCAATATTCCAGCAACATCACGGCAGGGGACACCACAAATGGGCTTCACACATTGTGCCCATGTGGGGATTCGAACCCGGGTCTTCGGCGTGACGAGCAAACGCTTTAACCATTATGCTACCCCACCGCCCCCCCATAATTAAAGACAGATTTATAATAGTAATAGTATGAAGGTGGAACAGACCCCTACAGCAAGCAGTTGGTTCTCTTACAGGTATGTGTTTCTTTCTTACAAAATGAATCAAGATCATCTAAATAAAGGCATGGTATGTGTAGCACAGTACCTGAAAACCCTCAGTTCTGATGAGACTTTTATATTGCAATATGTATCATAACCTAAGCTGCCATTGTCAGACCCTGACAGTTTGGGTCACAAAGCTGGATTTGTTCTTGTTTGTCCTTGGTCTCCTTATTTCAGATCTACTTCAGATCTCACTCTTAGAGCCACAACGATCCACCTTGTGGATCCATCAACAGTATCAGGTTTGCCAGAATACTGATGCTACTGCATAACACAACACCATGATATGTGTTGTGGCATGCATTTCACCTCTTTGAGGTCAACAGGTAGCTCATGCTCATTTCTCACAGAACATAACATTCAACTGCCCTAAATTGAGAAGACTGCTCCAATGAAAAATGACATCATTATCAACATACACATAACAGTCATGTTCTCTCTGTTGGTTAAATAACCAGAATTAGCACTGGATATAATAACAGTCTTGGTATACACACAGTCTTGGATGGATGAGCTGTTCAGTCACAATCACAAATCCACCAGCTATTGTTAATCTCCTCATAAAGCATATACTTGGATATTCATACCATACAGCTGCTATAGTTGGGGATAAAGCGATGTGAGAAAAACAAGATTATGCAACTGCGAAGAACAGATCCATGGATTGACAAGCAAGACTTAATACTACCACCTATTGAAAACTCATGTTTCATCATCCATGAACATAGTCCCTTTGCTTTTGTGCTAAAATTTCAATGACTTACCTTCAACTGATATGCAAAAGCCTAACATTTATAAGTAAATTACAAGAAGTTACTGTAGACTGAGTACTTGCTTGGTTCCCAAATAAATAGAAGGGTATATTTGGAGAAGGGCCAATCTCAAATATTTGTCTCATGCTTCTTCATGTGTATTTCAGTGTGGAAAGTACAAACCTTTTCCAGAAAGGCTAACAGATGGCAGAGCAAATCCTGGCAGTCTTTGATTTTGTTTGTTAACTGTCACAGTATATATGTATAAATGAATGCACCACATTGTTCCTTGTCACTGTCATCAACCCATCCACCCTCCCTGAAAACTAGGAGTTAACAACGATGCCGAGTGGAACATACAGGGATGCTTCATCTCCAACATCAGCAAAGTCTGTGGAGTCTTCACAAGGGGAGAGAGAGCCAGACTCTGACCCTTCCTGCTTTGAGTTGCTGTCATCTTGATCATCGTCTCCAGACAACTTCTTGTAAGGCTTGGTCCGTACCTTGAGAAATTCCTCTTTGCTAAGCATACGTATACCTGTGGCTGTGAGTAGCTTTCCGTGTCGAGTTTTCAAGTGACGCTTGTACGTGTTGCGTGTTTTGAACTTAAGAGGACAGTCCATGCATTCAAAGGGTGTTTCACCTGTGTGTCTCCGCAAATGTTCCTAGAAATGCAAGAGGCACATCGGTTGCGTTACACTGCTCTTATTGAAAACAGAAAGGACAATCAATCCCAGTCCAGCAGGGATAAGTAGCAACAAACATGAAGCACTCATAAAAGAGTCTCAAGATGTTTATATATTTTCTTCAAACCAGATAATGTGATGGTTTTACACCATAGGGATTCATCACAGGCTATAAAACAAGAGTGCCTTTGGCAGGTAAAGGGGAAACTAATTGTTAGATTCTTCAAATTTGGGATATTGTTAATTTGATTATGCATCAGATAATGAAACTGCAACCTCCTTTACTCTATTTATTGCAGTGAAATACAAGTCACCCCTACACTGTCATGTTATCAGTTATAACTTTCACAACAAGAACAGGGAAATAATAATTTTTGACATTCTACTGACATTGGCTGCAGACTTGGAGCCAAATATATGCCTCTGAAGGTGTCTAGATATTTCCTGTGCCAGTCGATAACTGCACTGACTGATGCATATGTACAGACTGTTGTTCTTCTGTTGGTTGTGAAATTTTATTGACCTCACAAATCCAGGTCTACCAAAGAAAACTTTCCCACTGTGCAGAAAACGCAGAAAAGCCCACATTAATCGTGGAAATAGCAACATAAACACATTACCTCGCTACTGAAACAGTAAAAGGCAACGAAAAACTATGAAACTGCAACATTTTTATATCAGCTAACTTTGACCTCTACTGCGCAAATGGCGTTACCATGAAGGGCTTACGCCCCGGATGCTAGTCGATCCTTCTTTCCAATTTCGAAAGCAACCGTGAATCACCTCTTGAGATCCAAGCATTAGGAAAAGTATTAAACATGTCGAAATAGACACTGTCAATGCGTTTCATCTGAATGGAAAGTAAAGTAAACAAGTGTGCACACAAATATCATGATGATAAATCATAAATGCCAAATAACACAACAGAAATACTTAAAAAGGAATGTAACTTTTGTCCAAGCTCGAAAATGTCAACATGCGGTCGAGGGCGTCCCTCTTCCATAATGCGCATCATAAAATCGAAGTTCTTGGATTAATTCGGGCTCCTCGCTTTTATGATGCAGTGTTAATGCGATTTAAAGTTGCCATTTTACTGTTTCAGTAGCGAGGTATTATGTTTATGTTGCTATTTCCACGATTAATGTGGGCTTTTCTGCGTTTTTCTGCACAGTGGGAAAGTTTTCTTTGGTAGGCCTGATGACGAAGGCCCTTGGACGGTATGTAGATAGGTAATAATCGGTTTCTGCTATCCTCTCGGGGGCTGATGCTATTCCTCAATGGGGAGTACTTTTCCACTGGTAATGTAACCCGCTCTAGCTTAAACCGGAAGGTATTCCTGATTCGATGTATTGGGATGTGCAGATAAGCATCTTGTAGATTCATACTGCCCATGTAGTCCATAGCCAACTCATTCGTCAGAAGGCGGTAGATGTAATCATAGTCGAAGAAGCTCATGTTGTAAAATGAGTCTGTATTTCTCCTTGGAGTTCTCTTGGGTACTAGGAAAAACTGGGGAGTAGAACCAACTATAATGGAATAACTATAATGGAATAACATTTACTGACCTTGAAATGACTGGGGTGTCTGAATTTGCGTCCACAGTCCTTACAAGTGAAGCGACTCTGGTTGTTGTGGATGAGCATGTGGTAGTTAAGGCTGTGTTGGCGGGTGAAAGTTGTGTTGCAGATAAGGCACACAAACGGTTTGATTCCTGGAACAGACAGAACAGAAATGTAGTAATACATCAAATACATCAGTTTTCTGAGAAAGAAGCAGTATCCCTACTGTCTATTTCTGATGTCAAAACATGTGAAATTTGGCTGTTGAGTGAGTGAATTGGATTAAACAATGCTTTGAACAGTAATCCAGTTATATCACAGCATGTCTGGTTCAAGTGACAAAGAAAGCACATAAATGCAGGTCTCAGTCATTTATCATTTTAGTTAAACCCATGAGCACCAGTATGGTTCTGACAAACCTAAGAGAACATAATTGGGTCCAACCGAAATTTGAACCCATTGTCATATGTTCTTGGCATGCCCAAGGGGCACAACTCTGTACAGCAAATGGCAGCTCCATAAGCAACTGGGCTACCCATGCCTTCTTTTGTGGAACAGGCTAACCATACCAGTTATTAATCATATTATAACATGTGCCACAGCTATTGTCATATACAGGCCTGCATGTACCGGTGCATTTTAGTGTACATTATGTGTAGTTCAGTAACAACACTTGGACTGTATCATGCATGCTTATAGATGAACTTACAAGACTGCAAAGAATTTTCCTAGACTCACTGAGATAGCAGCAAAAGTCACAGCTTGGCATAAATGATAAAAGATGAGGTAATGGTTACTTCCAAGTTACAAAACACCTATTCCATGTCATTCCCAACAAAGTCAGCACCCACTGATACGTTTCCACCACATAGAGACAGGTTGTCATCTTTGCAAACACCACATCAGTCACTACTTCAGAGGGGTAGTTCAACTTCCCCTGACTTCTCACCAAGGTCAAAGGACATTTAGTAGTTGTTTGAATGAATATCAAAGTGAGTGGTACCTGCATGGCTTCGGTAGTGATACATAAGGGTAGCACTGGCAGTAAATGTCTTGTCCTTGCAGATCTTACAGATTAAGGGCACTTTATCATCCTTCCTCCTGTTCTTTAGCTCACGAATACATTTCAAAGCCATTCTCTGAAACAGACAAATAATAGAATTCTTACAACAAATATAAAGTAATATCTTTGTAATACAGCTGCATGTTCACATTTTCCAACATGATATCAGATATTGTACAGAAGTATCCTCCTGCATAAGCAGAAGAGATTCTCTGATCTAAGTCCATATGATTCATTCTCATATGTGGTGTCTGATATAGTAAATTATGCACTCTGCATACTTTTTCCAAAGCAATTTCTCTTCAAACCATTAACATAGCAAATATTACAATTTAATTTAGAATTGCCCCAATGTTTTTAAATTAAAAGAATTAATGCAAAGGTTGACATGTTTGTAAACTTACCCGTTCCCATTCAGGTGTTATCTCTGCCTGCTCCCCTTTCTCCACGGCAGCAATTTTCCTCCGCTTCCTTGGACTGATGATATCGTCCTCATGGTCACTGTACAGGGCATTCTCCTCTGGCACAATCAGACGCCCCTTCTTTGCCAGGTTTGACTTTGGCATTGGTGGGTATGGCTCTAGTCAACCAAGACATTCATCTCAATCAGTTTAGTAAAACACTGTACCTAACATCACATCATTATTTATAAATAAATTAACACATAGAGGAAGCAATTCAAACAATTACTTCCAATAATTATTATGCTTGGTCTGGATTTACTTGCAGCATACTTTAATGGATGCATCCCTTAGCATTGTCATGGGTTTGGCCTTATGTATCAATCTTAGATTTGTACTGAACATGCTGAGTGTAGTTGGCAGACCATTACAGAACTCAGAACCTACTCGCTCTCTTAATACAAGCAATACACTTACTTTCACCATTGTGTCCTTCGCCATCCTCGTCTTCATCATCAGTGTTGCTGGCTTCAGACTCGTTCACCACCTCTTCCATGCTCACCATTGGGAGCTCAGCGACTGCAGGAAGCTGAAGCAACATGATAGGTTTGGTAGACTTCCTCTTTTCACTGTCCTCAGACGCATTGTCACATACATCTATCACTCCATTCTCCTCCTCTCCTGAGGACTCCAGATCAAAGTGCATAGTTTCAATGCCACGTTTCTTACCAAATATGGTGGTGTAACAGTGGTCATGATGAGGCTGAGTCCGGGCTCAGCAAATCAATAATAAACTGTTCGTTTTCTTCAATACGCCGTTCAGTCTCTTCATGTAAGTTATCATCACTTTCATTATCAGATCCTTCTCCCTTCTCTCCACTGTTTCCATGTTTGCCTTTCAATTTGTCCTTCTTCACTTTTGTAGCACCACTTTTAGTGTCTTTTTGATTGCCACTGTCAGCACCAACAGTTTGCAATGTTGACTTTTTGTGGGCATACCGTCTTGCCATGTCTTTTTTGTTTGGAGAGATGGCTCTATTGGTTTTCTTACGTTTCAATGAATTCTCTTTCACTTCCTCCTCTTCTGAGTTTCTGTTGAAATTGTCAGTTTTGGAATGTGACTTGGCCTTCGATGCAGGGCTATTAGTTGGCTTTCCTTTTGGGTCTGACACTGTCTTTCTACTTGGCTTAAGTGCAGTGAACTTGGCAATCGGACTGGTGCATTTTTTAGCCTTCCCAGGACTTGATGATGTGGTGTTCTGACTGGGAGTTTTCCTTTTTTTGGCAGCTTCTACAAAAAGAACCATGGTATCAAAGTCAGTGCAACAATCATTCTAGTGTAACATGTTATATTTGACATTACACATTCTGTCAATAACTCAGCTGCCGAATCTTCAACATAACTGAAAGTCACACTACTTTGTTTATGCATTTGACCTCTTCCTAAAAGTCATGTGTATTCACAACAGTTCTGGGGCAGTGGGGTAGCCAAGTGGTTAAAGGGTTCACTCATCATGCTGATGACCCGGGTTCAATTCCCCACATGGGTACAATGTGTGAAGCCCATATCTGGTGTCTCCCACTGTGATAGTGCTGTAATATTGCTAAAAGCTCATCCACTCACAACAGTTCAAGTCATTTTAGTGGTGCTTCAAACTGAAACTCTGGGCCTAATGGTCTTATTATAAAGCAAAGGGACAGATATTCTTGACAGATTGTTCTCAGTTTAACTTCCTATATCTTGTACCTGTGTCATCTTAACATTCATGTTTGTCATACTTTTAACTGACAAACATTTAAGATTCTAAATGATTAACTTTGGATCAATGAGAAGTGTCATTCCCACCTGCTAACTTCTTTTTTCGGACTGTAACAGGTACAGCAGAGAAAACAAACAACTCTGTTAGATCAGGATCTGAAAAAAGAAGGGATTTGTAAGTATACACCATAACACAACACAAACGAGAAACCATTCGTCTATCTTCCAGTGATAATATGACATCATTACCAGTCTTACTGAAACCTTTTAAGTCCAGGATTAAAGGCACTTTACAACATTTTAGCATTGTCTCTAAAGAAAAGGTATTGGGACAAGGTTCACAGAAGATAACTGCTCACTCAAATTCATACCATTTGCATCGTCAATCAGCTGTTCAATGTGACTCAGCAAGTGTGTCCTCATCTTCATACGTGCACGTGTCTCATTGCCGAAGCTAGTGAACTTCTCCTTGCACTTGTCTGGCATGAGATAGCAAGTGTATGTGTAGTTACGAGTCATCTCGTTTGACGTCATATCGCTGAACAGGCTGAGCAAGGCCTTGTCGGAAAGTGCTTGTATCTGATCAAGGTTCAGAACGTCCAAAGACTGTATGCTACGCTTGGTCAGCTGTTGAAAAAATGTGAAAATAAACTGGACTGTTAAACAATGTACTCCCCGCAACAGAAGATTATGTCAACTAAATATGGGAATTAGTATGCACTCTAACAAAACAGAGTCGCGCTGAAAATCATCAAGTTTCATCATCCTTGAACAGTGTACTATCAGTCACGCATTGTGGTCAGACTGACTGACTGAGTTTGGTTTTACGCCGCTTTTAGCAATATTCCAGCAACATCATGGCGGGGGACACCAGAAATGGGCTTCACACATTGTGCCCATGTGGGGATTCGAACCCGGGTCTTCGGCGTGACGAGCCAACGCTTTAACCACTAGGCTACCCCACCGCCCCATTGTGGTCAGAAAGGAGCACAACCTGCAACAAGGTCTTTTATCACAGGGCTGGATTTAACAAAAAGAAACCTGCTTGCAAAATATATATAATACTTAAGTTTGGGTAATGATTTTGATTGTTTGTTTGTTTGTTTGATGTCTAATGCAGTAATTTTCCAGCTATGTGGCGGCAGTCTGTAAATAATCGAGTCTGAACCAGACAATCCAGTGATCAACAGCATGAGCATCAATCTATGCAAATGGGATACAAAAACGTGTGTCAACCAAGTCAGCGAGCCTGACCACCCGATCCTGTTAGTCACCTCTTATGACCAGCATGGGCTGCTGAAGACCAATTCTAACCCACATCTTCAAGGGTAGTTTGGGTAATGATGATTTAGAAGTAGAACATCATAATTTTATAACAAAATTATTCTGGATCTGATAGGATCATTATCTTACTTAAAAAATGTCATGACAAAAGCAGAAACATTCAATCACTGGCTGTGTAGTCATCAGAGTCACTGCTCCAAGTCAGTTCCGCATCATTCTGTTTCCCAGCCAAAGTCTGGTACAAGTTCATAGCACTATGAGGTTTGCAGTTTCAGGTTGCACGTTCTAAATGCTTAAATCAAGACTTGTATCACAATTCATCTCTGAATAAATTCATTTGAAAAACCACTATGTGAAAACAAAGCTATTGCCTTCTAATGAACTTGTTTATTAAAATAAAAGAAATCATTGTCATAAATATGATAATGAAAGGATTACCAAATGATTTTTACCTTTTTAGGTGTGAGTGATTTCTCATTAAACTTGGGTTCTTTTTCCAAAGTGGCAGATGCCACCTGTGCCAAAACATCCAGTGACATGTACGAGGTCTGTTCTTCTGGCTTCACTGTCACTTGTCTCAGCATCACCATTGTCAGTGGTTGATGTTGTTAATCGGTTGGATGATCGTCGAGTTTCTCTTTGTGATACCTGTGGTCCAGCTGACAAGAAAATGCACAAAACAGAGATGAAATCAGCCACTGATATGACAATAACTGCATTATTGTAAAAACTTTTACTTGTATTAAAAGCTTCTATTTTATAATTAGAGAAATGTTCAGAAACAATATTTGCTATTTTTCCCAATAACATAATGCATCTAATCATTGTTCGACCATATATTTTTACCATTTACCACAATAAAAACAGTTTTCACATGATTTCCTCATACTAGGACTGTCTGACTTAATTTTTTAACACTGAGTTAGCAGTCCACAAAAGTTTATTAAATGAACTATCAACTTAATTCATGCTAGAATATTTGTGTATGCTTCAGTGAAAGTCAATATTAAAATGCCATGTTATGTTAATTGCTCTGTGATAGGGTTCTGTGTCCATTGTAATCTTGAAGTGCCTATTCAGGAAATGTAGATATGTGAGGTTTTAACCAACAGTCATGTTAATATCTTTTAAAATCTGATATATTTTTTTCATTAACATTTCATGAATACAGTGGAGGTGGTCTTCTTTGACAGTTCCAGGAGAGGCACACTGTCATATTGCCATACCTGATGATGTGAGCTTTTTTCTTTTAAGACAGTACCTGCTTCAAGATCTACTGTAGTATTATTTTAAACATTTAAATGCCTTTGCAAAATGAAGAGAGCATGTTGTCTGTGTCAGTTCGCTCATGTTTTCTAATTCTGACAACTAAGACACTGAACAATTTAATGTTAATCAAATAATTGTATACCTGGAAGAGCAGCCAAGAACTTGAAAGTCTACTAACACAACCATGTTCCTAGAAGAGGACTTATAATGCTTTTAACAGCATGTTTAAGGTTGGCTTCTCAGCAGATCCAGGTGTATTGGCATGTAAGAAATGAACGGACCGGAGCAACTGTTGTGACGAACTATGCACAGTAATTGGAGAATAAGCTGAATCTTTCGCGCCGAAAAGTTGTAATTCTTTCATCCGCCATTTTGGATTCGTCTGTCACAACACGCCGCTCTTCGTCTCGGAACATTGTAGCTTTTAATAGACGCATCGCCTGTGAGCGACTGTTTCCTATTGTAAACACGGTTATATTTTGTGTAAATATCACAATACTTGTCCTTGATTAAGATTTGAAACATTGTTACCAATGCGAGAAACAAATGACAACAAAGTAACAAATTACAACATGGCCCCGTAGCAGCCGACGCCTTGCTCCATATGTCTTAAGTCGCAAACAACAGCATTAATGCGTTGCGAATTTCACTCAAACGTGTTAATGGTAACTCGATTAAAATGTTTAAATTGTTATACCGCTCTTTTGACGGTCCCTTAAACTTCTTTTGGCAGCCTTTTCCTTCAGTCTCGTCGTCGCCATTTTCGCGTCTTCTGCTATCACAATTTGGGCTGTACCCTAGTCATAAATGTACGGCAAACACGAACAATATTTTACAATAAAAATCCCATTAATCTAAAATGTTTATATCGTTTTCCCTTTCGTTTCAATCATAAAAGTATATTTATGTGATGTGAGATGAATAAGTTCAAAATGAATTACTTGCAGACGATAAGATAGTTTTACTTTTTACTTCCCCGTCGAACCCAACAGACTGAGGTACATTGCTGACCTCAAAAGAAAAGCAGACGATAATCATCAATATTTCTGATATTTTTCTCAGTTCTCCAATAATTATGATTATGTGGCAAATCTATATGGCCAAGTATAGTGTACGCATTTTATAAATATAATATCATGTTTGGCATTTAATTCGATTTATCACGTGACAAAAATAACAAAATGGCGGCTCTCATTAGGGCCTAGAGGGCAAGAGCCCGAGCATTGGTGTTACCGAATTATTTGACAGCACAAGTAAGGTTTTCATGCGCCGAGTTATCTGAGGTAGGTTAAATTGCATATCTGTAGAAGTGCTTGTTCTTTGCTTTGTCGCATGTATTTTTAGTGTTATTCTTAATATCTGTTTAGCCCAGGTTGGATACTGATATGACTGTCAGTGACAACCACATTCTCCACATGATAACAGACATTCATGTGTATCATGTCACGATTGTCCAGCTAATTAATATTTACCACTTATCATGTACTTTTACACTATTCAAGGAGGCTCGTGAAGTAAACACGAAAACACATGGGAACTTAGCATGGACTGACAAGATGACTATGACCGACATTTATGGTGCAGAATTGAGAGTAATTGTGATCTGTTGTCACTTATCGAATTTGCAGATCCAGCTCAAATTTACTCCAAGTGAACAGGTGAATGGCGTAATTTACTTCAGCGGTTCGTCATCATGTTAGTTTCCATTCTTTCAATACAATTTTCAATGAAAACAAACATGTTAACGCATAATACAAGAAATAGTACTCTGACTGGCATGAATGTCAGAGACAGGCATTGGGATTTCTGAATAAAATCACTGGTATGGATGACAACATTTTTGTGAATTAACAGTGTTACAACATTTCGATTCAGATATTTGCATCTTCATCAAGTGTATGAACCGCAAGAATAATATATATCCCTCAAGTCACACAAGTTTGATCGTCATGTAACTTCGATCGCCCATTTTGAATGGTAATTGTCGCAATACGTAGCGATAACTTACGGTATCTGCAGCTTTGATCTTCTAGTGACACCACTTTCATTCGTTTGGACCGGAAAATTTTTCGTGTCAAGTTATCAAATGTAAGTTATAGCTCATTTTCAGCAAACAACTACTTTTTAACCCTAGATCAATAATGTAACTTTATCAGCTCAAATAAAATGTAAACAGTATAAATTTCACATGTTGTAAATTGACAGCACCCCAGTCTTCTGTTTGTTTACGTTGCTGGTCTAATTGTGACATGTCCAGACATGTAATATCCTTGTCAAAATTTAAAACTTTGGAAACAAGTAAGGGCCATTTCTTATAGAAAACGTAATGCTTTTTGAGAATTTCCGTGAATTTGTACCTGATGAAGTTCGAGCTATTGCCTCATTGATAAATACACCCTGGGCACAATGTACCCACCCTACATGTCAGTACAGAACACATTTACGTTTCTGCAAGCCAGTTCGTGGTGTTTGTCGACATTCTGAGGTTTGTTGCCCATCAGGATGAGCCTGAAGAATAACTCCCTGCATAATAGTTATATATAAGCTGAATAGTTGTGACTTTTCATTCTTTTTCGAAATATTGAAACATAAAATGAATGTTTCATGGACATAAATACCATAAAATTACTTGGGACTGCTCTAACTCTGAATTTGACACAAGAGATCGTCCATATAAGTCATCCTGTTTACGCCACAAGCCAGCCAATCATATGATCGAACTTATGTGACGTAGCTTTCTGGGTCACTTGTGTTGACAGTGAGAGGGCGGCCATGCCGCGATTGTGAAAAGCAGTAAAAATACCTGGATTTTTGAAATGTTTGACATAAATAAACAAGTTTAGAGGTAAGAGTTTTGAAAATAAGATTATATGAATATAACTTTGAAAATTCAGCGACAGTTCTTAAGCGATCGAACTTACATGACACAAGGGTACTATATCACTACATGTTTGTGAAAACTTAAAAGTAATGACAGGTTCTTAAAACACCAATTTGATTACATTTAACAGCTTGATTGGCATTTTAGAAGTTAGTGAGTAATCTGAATGCAATTAAATTACAAGCAAGTCCGGTAATTCTGCGCGTCCGGTAATTCTGCGCAGCTGCAATGGCGTACTTCCATATCAAAGGTAAAATCGTCTGCTACCACATTTCTTCATTATTCATAATTGGGTTTAATATGAAGCACTCTTCCTTTCATTGATGTAGTTATTTTGGAAAATAATCTGGCCCTAAAATACGCTTCCATACTTCGGCTGGATGTTATGCGCATCAGCATTCTCTTCCCACAGAGGTTACTTGTTATATCTTCCTACGAACCTCTGTTCTAATACGGCCATATTTCCCGGTTCTCGTAAAATCCCCTAGCGGCAAAAGATCGCAACACGAATTATTTCCCTTCTTTCTAGGGGTGTCGCGATACGCGAATGTATCGATGCATCGATACATTTTTACTGACTTTACGATACGCGATACATGCTTGCGTGTATCGATTCCTATTTTAAAACTTTATCGATTCAATTTTTATGCTATATCCATCTCATTTAAAGTCTTGATAGTAAAATTATACGAGATCGCTCCGATAAATAGATGTAGCTAGCTTTACTTGAAAAATAGGTTGGAAACTAACAGCTTTTGTGATTGGCTAGACTATTTTGATGGACCAATCAGCGAGCGCGTACGTTGCCGGTAAGGTAATGCTATGAAAAGGCGCGAAAATTATGTATCGCGATACGTATCGTATCGTGACCTTAAAATCGTGATACGTATCGTATCGTGAGATTGGTGTATCGTGACACCCCTACTTCTTTCTATCCAATCAGAACACGTGTTACATCGACTTAGATTCGACTTGACTAACACAAGCAAATGTGGGGCTACAAATATCCCCCATCTGCCGGGGACTTGTGTTGATGTTACACACAAGACGTTTAATGGCTAGCTTGTCCGTTGTCAACGAGGGCGATGGAGACGCCACTGATCCGCCATAACATGACTGAGTTCTGTCTAGAAGAAACGTTTGCGCATCGCGCAGGGGAAGAAGTTTAGTTTTCTCGAAGCATACGGAAATTACCGAGGCCTTGCGAATGATCACTTTTGAAACAACGTCGCTGATTGCACAACTAAATCTGATTGTCTCCAATCACGAGTCTTGAATGCTCACACCATGAAAGGGCTGTATTAGAACAGAGGTTACGTAGGAAGATATGACAGGAGTAACCTCTGTGGGAAGAGAATGGCGCATCAGTTGCTGCGTAGAATTACCGAACAGCAAGCGATGTCGTCAGAACGCCGGTAAGGTCAGCCGTATGGCATAATGCAACGTTAGAATCTTATAGTTGTTAATAAAACTTATATGATACATACCAGCATGTTTAGTCACGTAAACCACAAAAAATAAGAGACTTTAGTTGCCGTGTTGCGATTGATGTGCTTAGATGCGTGGAATTACCGGACGGCATTGTACAGTTAAATTGATACAAGTTGAGTTGAGATAATATTGCTTCACGTCGCATCAGCAACTTTGCAGCTTTTCACTATATAGCTATAAATAGATGATTGACAATCAATCAATAGTTGTTGTAAGTGATTATTAGTGAGTCATTTGGAGGTATTAAAAGATGGAGGGTATATGGTTTGATTACCTAATGGGTATTGATAAGCATGAGGAATGCAATAACTAATTGTACGTATAATTTCACCAATAAGAATTTTATGCTTCATGCATCTTATGCTTTGTAAAGTTGCTAGTAGCGCAGAGAAAGGCTGCAACATGATAGTAAATAATTTCTTGAAATAAACTGAATTTTGAGGTCTTACAGTTCAGAGGAAGTTGTTACCTATTCTGTTATTTTTTTAGACTTTTAATCAGCTAGTAGTCATGAAATATTGCCTGAATGAATGTTACTTAAAATGTAAATGTAAGTTTATTAAAACTGTACCAGACTACAGACTTGTTCATGTATAGTAGTAAATGTCTGTCTTGAAAAAGGAAATGTAAGATATTAATACCATAATTGTTAAGTTAAGTTTCAAATCTCCAGAAAGTATTGTAGTAAGTTAAAGATACATACAGGCTTGTAAACACTATATTTTGTGTCGCAGACTGTTTTTAGAAGTATATTTGCCTTTTACCACCAACTGAATACCAAATGATTTCCACTGGTTGGTGCTCTTTAAAAATATTGATTCCAAGATTCTCCATTATTAATGACCATTGGTTTGTCAGCACGATACAGTAAATGCTTGAAGTTCTACATCACTTCATTTTTCATTCAGCACATAACATACACATTGAGAACTGGCAAATATTTTGTAAAAATACTAGTTTCTGTCACTGCTGTAAGATTCTAAAGATTATTTTGTCGGTGATCATTTGTACACAAGACGTAACAATATAGGATAAATGTGATTCATGACGTTATGTATTTTACAAGTAGATATAGATGACTGTTCGGTGTATTCCCAGAGTGGCGGCCCTCCCTCCGTGGTGTAGTGGTTAGAGCCCGGAAGAGCCGGAAGGTCGTGGGGTTCGATCCCCTGACGCGTCATACCAAAAGACGTTAAAATATGGTACTTGTTGGTCCCTGCCTGGCGCTCGGCATTAATGGGTACAACAAGGACTGGTCGGCTCGGAGTCAGTATACTGTGTCTGAGTGGGGTATTCATGCTTCACTGCGGCATGGTATCTCAGTGGGCTAGCACTATAAAACCAGCTTCAGTCTGGGCTAGTACAAACAGCCGCACATACACATACACACGCATACACGTCATATGAGCGAAATATTCTCAAGTACGACGTAAAACCCAATCTCACCTCACCTCACCCCCAGAGTGGCCCCTCAGTCTATTACGTAACAACCAAATTCAGGGGCCACTCTGGGACAACTCGTTAAGAAGGTGTGAACGTAGGGGCCGGTGTGGGACAACTTGTTAGTTGTCAAAACAAAGAGTTAATCTGCTACTGTGAGTAGAAGGTGATAACTTCAGAGTACAAAGTGAGAGTCTGGTTACCATTAATGGTTTGTGTAATAATTTATCTTTAATTTTAAATGTTGTTAACTGCCGATTTCTCAGATTGTTGAGGAGGAAGTTTGTGTAATAGTCTATCTTCAATTTTTGTGTGTGTGTTTATCCTTTTCTTGTATTTTGCTATAAGTAGACTTCTGGGTGAATGTTGGTCATATCAGCCATGGCTCTGAAGGGAGAGATTGTTCCTGGTAGACAAAATGGACTTGATATTTTGATGGAGGGTTTTAGGTATAACAAGAAGAAGGAAAAC